TTTGGACATCTAATCTTCTATTAAACACGTACTAACGAAAAATATAAAAAAAATATTTTCACTAAAATAAAATGACCAAAATACCCCTGAAAGCTTCAAGGGGTATTTTGGTCATTATATTTTATCGAAAATTTATTTTAAATATTTTTTTATAGGGGAGCCCCAATGCGATGATGGCACATACCTAATTTTAAATTCATATAATTTGTATAAAAAACACTAAAATAAAATACTTTGAGACGTTGAATCTAAGATCAAACGGTCAGTGGCTCTCTTTATCAAAATTAGACGGCTGGATGGTAGGGAAATTATAGATCTTCTGCGCCATAGGAGAAGTATAGAAACATTTACCTTTTCAAAAACAAATGGAGTAAAATGTAAATCGGGTACCTAAGCACTTATATTTGACCTTGTAATAAGGCAATAACGTTTTTGGACACATTTAGAGGGCATGTGGAGTTTTTTATTCATTTTCTTTTTTGAATTAGTTTGTTAGGTGGAGGTCATTGCCACCCGAAATTTTTCATATTTAAAAAGGTTATATTAGCGGGCTCACAATGTAGAGCATTTTATAATTGTACTAAATAAATATTGGATATTTATGTCCCATTGTTTTGTACTTGAAATATTTTTTTAGTAAGGGTATTTTTTGTCATTAAGATGGATGTAACAACATCCACATGGGGTGTGAGATCACTCAAATGAAGCACACTAGTGACATTTAATACTTATATATGTAATGTCACATGGGTACACCCTTCCTAATGACCAAAAATACCTTTACTAAAAAAATATTGTATTAAAAAACAAGAGTACGTAAGTGCCCAAAATTTGTGGAGTACAATTATGAAATGTTTTATAGTACGAGCAACCTAATATTACTTTTAGACTATAGTTTTAGTTAAGCAAGTGAATGGAGAATGTGCTCTCCCTAGGGTTTTGTCGAAGTGAGTGAGCAACCGATATGCTTCTACAGAAGCATATAATCTTTGGCTTCCCAAATTCATAGGTTAGAAAGAAAGCTAGGTGTTTTAGAGTACCTTTTTTCATGAGACAAAGGTAAAAAAGAGAGATATTGATTTTAGATTAGATGGTACATAAAAACAATGATAAATGAGCATCCATCCATCAAAGTAATTAAGACCAAATCAATCATCAAAGTGAAATTTTGGTTTTTGAGGTTAGAAAAACTATGAATAATTGTCGTCCATTTTAGTCAAGAAAAACAGGTATCAGATTAAGTCCCTAAGATGATTTATTTGACCTGAAATTATGTAGATTGTTTCATCACAACCAGATAAACAGATTAGAAGCAAATGTTGAAATTAATTCTTTGTTCTTAGAGAACTAGATTAATCAAACATGGAATAGGCAATCTGTGTTTATCAAGTCTATAAAAACAATTATCAAATGTTCTTTTTTATTTTTTGTAACTTTTTCAGTGAGCTTCTTCATCGGGAACAAGTGGATGTGTACCACTATTGAGGTAAAACAAACTCCCCAAACATGGGGAATGGCAGAGCAATCCAGCCATCCACCTATAGGTAGATGATAGTCATATAAGTACATTGTAAATCGTCTATCATGTTTCGACATAGTCATTGTGAAAAAAAAAAAACTCTTTTATATGAAATCTTGGATCCACCTTAGAACCACAAGATGAACATTTACCATGAAGAAAAAGCTACAATTCCTGTTTGCGACAGCTCCCTAGCTCTCCTTGCCACACTTGCCTGAGGGCAGTGGGGTAGCAGAGGTCCCCAAGAAGAGCTAACTATCGAGAATTGGGTTGGAGAGAGAAATGATAACTGGAGAAAATGGGCTTTTTGACGGTGAGCGTAAGGTCGAGTGGGTTGCACTAAAATTTTGTTGTGTTGCCTTGGCACGCCACTAGAGAGTGACTTGAAGTGCTGAGAATTTTCGGATCGGGTCTGGATCCACCCAGATCCAAATCTAGTAATTATACATCGGAGCTGGATCCAATTGGATCATGATCCATATCCAAAACAATATATATGATCTAAATCCAAATCCGGATCTGAATTCAGATCAATTCTAATTTTGTATATTATAAAATTAAAATAAAATTATAAAAAGTAATGATTTTATAGGAAGGTCCCACACTTATAAGCATAAGATCTCAATAAATCACCGTTGAAATTCTATCCAAATCTCAAGGTGAAATATCAAATCCTCCTCTTTCTTTAAAAAAATTACTTTTTTTAAATGACCCTCTCTTCCCTCATTTGTACTCTATCTCCCTCTTTACTAGCTCTCTCGATACTTTTGTTTAGTCTCTCTCCCTCTTTACTCTCTCTTGCCTTTCTCTCTCTACATTTCCTCTCGCCCTCTTCTTCCCACAGGGTCACTATACCCTTTTCCTTCTCTCTTCCTCCAGCTCTCTCCCCCTCCAGTCTCTCTCTTCTTTTAATAACCCATCTAGCCCTTCCCAAAAATCCCCTTTCTCTTCTTCTTCCTCAAAATCAGCCACACGGGCTACGGATTTCTTTGGCTAACATATCAAAACATATGTTGATTTCTTTCGAGAATGGGTTTTGAAGATGAAGTAAATGACTTAGAATTTCTTCGGCTAACAAATCAAAGAGCAAGAGATAGAAAAATCAAAATCCGGTATTTTGATTCCTTCCATTTTTTATTTTTTTGGGGAAAAAGCCAAATTTTTGTTTGAGGCTTGAGCTATCAAAATCTGATACCAAAGAATGGGTTGTGGATTTTTTTTTTTTTGAATTTTTAGGTTGTAGGTTTCATGAGCTCCTGGCTAAAAAAAAAAAAAAGAACGATTTATTTACTTAATCATCCCTACTGGAAATCAATGTATTTTGGGTAAAAAATAAACGATTTTCTTTATAATTTATAAAATCCTAGTCATGATTTTTGTAACCAGTGGGTTGCGTTTTTTTTTATGTTTTTGAAAAGTTTTTTGGACGAATCCTATATCAAGATATTTGTGAATTTTTTCTTAGAAAAAAAAAAGAAAAAGAAAAAGATATATGAGATTTTGTCAAAAGAATTTTTTTTTTTTTTTGAGCTTTGAAACATTGAACCTGATTTTTGTGGATTTTTATTTTCTTAGGTTGTAAAACTTGAACCTGATTTTTCAGCCTGATCATTTGGGTTTTGAGGTTTTATCTTGTTTTGTTGATTGACACATTTGTTTACAGGGATAACAGTTTTAACGAATGTGCCAAAATGAATTTTTATTGCACTGGTTCTTGTGAAAACATATAGCTTTCTCTTCTGGGTGCAAATTGTCTAAGTCCAATTGTCCATGGAATATTGTCTTGTATCTTTTTAATCAATATTTGATAAATTTGATGACCAAGGGTTCTGATTACCATTGATTCAGCTTATCAATGTATCCCTTATCATGTATAGTAAATGATGTTTTTTTTTTTTCTTGTCTTCTTCTTCTTCTTCTTTGTGTATATTGTTGATCAGGAAGTGGTAGGTGGTAGGACAAAGATCATGGATACAAATAGCTGTGGAAGAATCAAACCGTAAACTTTGAGAGTAACAAAATGATATTGAACGTGATTTTTGTAGTGGGGACTTTAAATAGGACTATAAAGAATGGGTTCTGGGTTTTTTTTTTTTTGTGAATTTTCTGGTTATGGGCTTAATGAGCTTGTCTAAAAATGCAAAAGAGATTTCCGTTTCCCGAAACTGTTGGAGATAAAATATGAGTTTTGGGTATGCTCTATATCATCATAACGTCGTATTTCCAATAGAAGATAAAACATTTCTTACACGATGGTGCTCAATTACTGGTTTTCTCCTTGCTTCTATATAACCCCTTATATTTGTTGGTTTTCTCCTTGCAAAGCTTCCATTGGTTAAAACAAAGGTAATTTTGTGTGGGAATTCTGACCTAGAAATTGATTTTCCTCTTAACGATGGAGGCAACCATTGAGGATAATCCTTTATGGTATGGTACCAATACAAAAGAAATTGATAGTACTATCAAGGTATTGAGTGCTTTAGAATTGCTAGCATTTGTATGGAAGTTAGTGTATCTTTCTCTCTATATAAGGCTCTAATTTAGTAACATACCATAGATTTCTTATGGTTTTTCAATAATCATTTGAATGACATTAAGTACCCATGAAAATTCTACATGCACCATTGGAATCACAGGTAAAAAGAAGCAATAATGATCGTTCTAAAGAGGTCAATGTTATAAAGAGGGAGCAACACAAGACAGTAAACATGAGATTTTTTTGGGAACCTTTTTTAGCACAGGGTCCCCCATTTTTTGTATCTTAACTTATTGTTTATATTTTGGATGTAAAACTTTTATTTTAGTCTTTTTATGGGGGCTTTTGTATAGAGCAACTTATTTGTGAGCTGCCTAATACTTGTATTTTGTTTACTCTTTATATTAACACAACAATTAACACATTAAAAAGAAATTTGGGTCTGTATGTTAAACTTCAATAGTTTACTTCAACCATGGAATTTGTAGCATATTCATCATCGCTTTTTTTATATTGCTCAATATGAGAATGAAATCCATATGAGAGAGACAGATAACATTTTATAGCAAAACCCATCTTCAGGAAAGCTTAAAAATCACATGGATAGAGCTAAATTACATTATAAATAGACGTCATTAATTTGTATTCAATGAATGTATCAGAAAGCTTATAGATTTGGATGAGTGACCAAAAAGAACAAACATTAATTGGGGAGTTTTATTTTTATATCTCGGATCCAAATGCAAAGTTTGAATCTACAATGTTATGGTCCTTGGTTTCCTCACATGCAAATGTCATTTATTTCATATCTAGATCAAATGCTTGTCAAAAGAAGATTATGAAAAACTACTCAATATGCACATTCAGTTGACCACAATTTGGGCATCTAAGACTTCTCAGTGTGGATCATTAATTGAATTAATTTGTTGAATTTATATGACAAAAACCATAGTTAGAGAAGATATACACAAGAAACAGTTCCTTCACAGAGATTGCCACAAGACATGCTACAAAAAAAGTAAAAATCCTTGTTTAAAATTGAGAACAAAGAGCACCCATGTTTGCAAATTGATACAAACTTTCACAACCCCAATGTAGTGCTTTAGAATACAATGATCACTCATTATTACATTCGTAACACCCCACGCATCAATGAATTTATACAGATAATTTCTCGCTAAAAGTTTCTTCCGTAGAAAATTACACTTCTGCTTTGTACATAGAGCTTATGGGGAGCTTGAGCTTCTCTCACAGGGCTTCAGACCTAATGTCAAATTATCGAGAATGGTTTCGAATCCAACTTCCATCTTCCAACCCATCATCAAACCGAGTTGTTGCAATTGCTTGCAGCTAGACCTTTGGATTTGGCCACACGATGCTCTGATTAATTAATACAAGAAAATTCATTTCAAAACATTGTTAATCAGCACCAATTAACAAGGTATTCACGTTTAGTAATCACAAGGTAAACCTAATTTTCTCTTAAGAAATATGCTTCAATTTTCTAAACATTATGCTTTATAAAGCTTGGAAAAAAATTGAAAGGTAACAATGAATATCTACCAAAACTAACAAAGACAATGGATTCCCCATGGACCCAGAATTATTGCCAAGCAAGTTGTATCCAACATATACAAAACAAGAATACTATGATTTCTTCCCAAGTTCCCACAATGTAGCTCACTAATCTAAATATTAGAGCTAATCAAGGAACAAACGACAAGAAATGTTCATCAATCACACAACACAGAGCCCAACAATATCTGATCAGATTCAATCAAAATTATCTCTTTTGATAACCAACATATACGAAACAAGAAAACTTTGATTTTTTCTCATTACAAAAATCAGATTCCAAGCTAATTTTGTTACTCTTAAAGTTTACTGTTTGATTCTTCAACAGCTATTTGTAGGTCCATGATATCCATGATCTTTGCCCTACCATCTACCATTCCCTAATCAACAATATATAATAAACAAAAAAAATCAACCTTTACTATACATGATAAGGGATAAATTGATAAGCTGAATCACTGAATCAATGGTAATTAGAACCCTCGTTCATCAAATTAATCAAATATAGATTTTGTATTCCATGGACAATTAAACATACAATTGGACTAAGACAATTTGCACCCATAAGAGAAAAGCTAAATGTTGCATATAAAGAAAGGTGCCAATCAACAAAACTAAGATAAAACTTGAAAATGTTCAAGCCGAAAAATCAGGTCGAGGGTTTACAACTTAAAAATTCAAATAAAATAAAAAACCACAAAAATAAGATACAGAATTTCACAAATCAAATAAAAAGTCACAGATATCTTGATATAGAGTTCATCCAAAAACATTTCAAAGTCATTTGTCAAAGAAGCTCACAAAATCCACAACATAAAAAACAAACAAACAAACAAACAAAAACATCAGAACGCACTGGTTACACACTACAAAAATCGTGACTAGGGCATTATACCTTATAAAGAAAATCATTTATTTTTTACCCAAAATACATTAATTTCCTGTAAGAATAATTAAAAAAACAAAATCAATTTTTTTTTTTTAACCAGAAGCTCATGAAATCTACAACCTAAAAATTCAAAAAAATAAAAAACTACAACTGATTATTCAACTTTCTCATCATAATTGGGTGGCTGAACAACAACCACTTCCCACTATGTTTCTTGTTTCTCCTCAATAGCACATTCTTATCTTAGAGGGAAAGGGCTAACTTACATTGACTCATCTGATCCACTCCTGTAAAGAGTTCTTTCTTTTTTTTTTTGGCCTAGAGTGAGTCTGCTAACTATAAAATGAAAAGAACCACAATCAGAAAACTCAAATGAGAGACCGAGACTTTTCAATCCTCACCTGATAGCAATGAGAGCCTTTTTGATATGATCATTGAGAAGGATCCGCGTAGGTTTTTCCTACATCTCTCGCTCATCAGATTTACAATAAGATACCTCTATTTTATCATGATTTACCTGCCTTTAAAGAAATGAGGTTTCCCTCCTCTATAGACAACTGCAACCAACACGCCTCTAGCTTTAGCAAGGGCTTTTAGCTAATTGAATTAGCTAACAAGCCACCCAAAATCAAGGGATTAGATTTTTATAACTCAAAAAAAAACTTGACTTTTCTCAAAAAAAAAATGGAAGGAGTCAACATACGTGATTTTGATTGTATTGTTTCTTTGCTCTTTGATTTGTTAACTGAAGAAATCCTGAGCCATTTTCTTGATCTTCCATATTTGGAAGGAATCAGCTTTGATTTGTGGCTAATTTTGGGGAAGCAGAAGAGAAAGGAGTTTTTCGTTTAGGGCTTGATGGGTTATTAGAAGAAGAAGAAGAAGAGAGAGATTGGAGGGGGAGAGAATGGGATGAAAAGAGAAGAAAAGGGTATAGAGATCCGTCTAGGGCTTGATGGGTTATTAGAAGAAGAAGAAGAAGAAGAAGAAGAAGAGAGAGATTGGAGGAGGAGAGAATGGGATGCAAAGAGAAGAAAAGGGTATAGAGATCCAGCGGGACGATGAGAGTGAGGACAGTAGAGATAGAAAGGCGAGAGAGAAACCAAATGAAGAGAGGTCAAAAAGAAGTACAACTAAAAAGGGCAGGGGTACGAGAAAGAAAATATTTTTTAATGAGAAAAGGAGAGGGATTCAAATTTTACCTTCACATCTAAATCAAAATCCTACGGTGATCGGTAGGGTTCCCACACTTGTTGGTGTAGGAGGGTCCTATAACATCATTACTTTCTTTCTCTCTCTCGCTCTCTCTCTTTATATATATATATATATATATATAT